AACACCCAACATTGGTGTTGCCGTCTTTGATGGTGGTGATGATGTTAATGATGATGATGAATGTAGATGGAATGTTTACTGTCAGAGTGTAAAAATGTAAAATATGACTAGGATATGAATGTGTTGGACATACGCCAGTTGACTGACGCAAGCATACGGGAAGTTTAAATTACACTTCAAGGTGAACAGCGTATAGGATGCAGTCAGACCAGTTCTATACTTCGAAGACAATGCTTTTGAGTTTTGAGAATTTGCTTCGCTTCGCTTGGGTCGGTGCGAGGTGGGGTAAAACATGTGGGTTTTTAGATTTAAACTGATATAACAGAAACAGATCCGCCCGCAAGAAGCGGCAATTCATTGAATGCTAGCAAATACAGCAGTGATACTAATTTTCATTTTGAGGGTTCGACTTTGGTACGAAAGAAAGGAGGGACCGGTATGGCTCCAGTCAGAGCTTTTCACAGGCAGACTTCAAAAGTATCATTTAAACATATCCGGGATCTACCGTACAGGTGATTAACGAAATGAATCCGCATGGCATCTTAATGTGGACATGGCTACATCAGGATGTCAAAGACTCGCAATGTTGTTTGAAGTGCGGACCAAGTTTAGGCATAATGAGCAGCGTAAGTAAAACGGATTATGGTGTATACGAGCTGAACGTCGTTAGACGATAGCTCAGGATTAAGAACTACTGTGAGAACTACAAGTAGTACCCCCTAGCAGGAATTGGGGAGAAGAGAGAGCTGACATTCCTGATATCAACTAACATATAAGCAGGAAATTACGGCAGCTTTACTTCTTGCTAGTGAGTCATTATGGTAGACCGAATATCAACTGAGAAACTCCTTAAAATCCATACCATTCCCAGAACCCGCTCCGCAGCGATGTGTGCCATCAAGAGTATACATCATATAGTGAAACTACACACGCAGTTGGGAGGCTATTGTCGCTCCAATTTTGCCCTAATTTTCACGAATCTATGAAAATATGGGGACTCTTTACTTAATAAATCACTGATTACAAGTTCTTCTCTGTTACTGTGGACAGTTTGCGCTGCACGTGATCGAAAGTGTACTTTTAAGTGTGAGGAGTGGATTCTGTGTAACTGTCACAGATGACGGCTTCTGATATTTGATTATCTTTTATTGGGCTGTCCATAAATCGAAGTATGTTAGTACAACAATGACATGGCATTGCCACATTCAGTCCAATGTCATACCCACAACCGTCCACTTCCTACTGTCAACTATTTCCTCTCGCTCAAACATTTCTTCACTTGCAAATGAGAACAAATTTCTTACCTGGCCTCGGACACTCTTGGACAAGTTTGCTCTAACCCGGTGAACCTTTTACTCAGATCTAATAATCCTGTTTTTGCGTTGCAATTTAAATTTGCTCCGTCCACATATTCAACGATTTTGCCGACAGTGCTCCTTTGGCCCTATGCACTAGTAATACTTCTGTACATCTTACTTCCCCATAACCGTTTGACGGTTGAATCAATGGCCAGGGTCACAAAAAGCTCAAATGGGGATAACGAGAGAGGGAGATGCGCAGTGGAAACAGAGTGCAAATTTTTTTTTGAAAATATGGTTTGCACTGAAACTTAGTTGACTCACTGTTGTCGCTGTTGTATGGAGGTCAGCCCCATTTGGATAAAAAATGAACGATAAGGATAAAGGATAATAGTAAAAGGTAAAGATAAAAGATAAAGGATAAAGACTGACCAATATTTCAACACATTACCAGACTGAACGTAAAACAGATGCGCATGACAACATAATAAATTATTGTCCGTTGGTTTTTGAGTACTTTTATGTGAATATTTATCCTGGGCGAGGAGACATACGTGTAGGAAAAACAGGAGGGTACTTATGACGAAGTCAACGGTCAGACCTGGATAAAAGAAAAAGTTCAAAGGTGGATGGAGAATGGTGAACACATCTAGAATCGCTCCATTTAACTTGTCTGGGAGGTAGCTAAGTGGGCAGGAAAAGAAGTCAACTGGTTGTCTATTTGTCAGCCAAGCTTGGTAATTGATTTGCAGACGTTTTGTCAACATTCAACGAAATATATTCAGTGCTCTGCTGGGGCTCTGAATGCGGTTCTAATTGCAAATACCACTACGTACGGATACCCACCGCTGCTTCAAGAATGGCCCACCATGGGATAGCTAATCGGACCTAAGTGCGAAGGTAACATTGTTGTGGACCGTAATAAAAAGGTGCGTATAGTTACTCATGCCTTTCAGATGAAGTATCTATCTGAGCTCTAAAAATACTTCTGCTGAAAGCTAATAGGGGCCAAATGCACATTTGTTGATGATATAGTCCCACTTCAGCATTCTAGAGAAGGTACTAAATGAATGGTGCAAAATAACCGGTTAGGCAGCGGCCGATTTCACAATCAAACTAGCTAATTACAAAGTGCACCCATGCAACTCCAAGAGGCATATGAATTCCTGGAAAACAGTCGTCCGGGTTGGCACTCATGAAGCTACTCTACTGAGGCATAGAACGAATAGCTAGAGTCCTGACCTTAACGATCATTAGCTCCAACTTTACGGGAATATTCTACTTCTGTCATCAGGGCGTCATTTATCCATTTGTACTTTTAGCACAAAGGAGGGTTAGATTTCAGGAAGTGAAGAATTCGGACTGAAATCCGTTGCTTGCCTGTGACGTCTTAGATAATGTGCCGGAAATTGAGGCTCTTTCTAAGTAGAATGCAGTTGTTATTGACCTCGGAAAACCCCGGATCGGCCGGTTATTCAGTAAACATCAAACATAGCTGGAATTGGCACTACAATGAACGACCAACTTCAAACACCTGACAATGATTTTGACAAGTTTTGTAAAAAAAATCTGTCGATTAAATGTGTGCGGCAGAAACTGTGAACGTGGCATACAAACTGAAGAGGATAAATTAATCGTCAAACTGAAATATCCAGAAGCGTTTAGTCTCGCATGTCTGTCTTTGTTAACCAGGAGGTAACTTGAGATTTCTTCTCAAAGGGCTTCCCTTCCGCATTAAGACTTCTTCGCAATTTCTGAATTACGATTACTTCCGATATTCGATTCACTGCACAAGTGTTTCCGACTAATGGTAAAGTGTTCACAAGTGCAAGATACTGTGAAGTACGGCCAATCTTCGGCAAATCCCAGGGAAAACCAACCTGACCAGGGTACTAAGTCAGTTTGCAAAGCTACTAAGTGAAGATGTCATTGGAGGCATTGGGCTGTCTGTGAGCAGTGAAACTGCATGCATCTCCCATATGGCATATGCATTCGTAATAAGCAAGAGATCGAGAATCGTGTCGCAAGATAATAAGAACAGTTATAAAAAATGTACTTGCATTCATTTATGGCAGCGAGTTTTCTATGTAACTACAAACCTACTTGTTTTTTTAATCTGGGCTATGGATTTCTAGCAATTTAGGCTGCTAGCATTGACTGGTCTTGTCAAAACTCTTCAAGGATTTTATCCTACGATGCACCCAAATCCATCATTCAGTCTGGTTCTGAGTCCTGAACTAAATCGTTGCTCCCCACAGTGACTTGGAAGGTGCAATTCAAAAGTTCAACCTAGAAATACCGGATTGTGAAATATGACGTGCAACAAAATTTATTTCACGTGTAGTGCTTAAAGATGTAACTGAAATTCATTCCAAATTCTTTCGGTTTTTAGCCATCTCCAAGGTAACCCTGTATGATGACATCTCAGAAGTTGAAACTGCAGTAAGTATCGTTTAGGTCTTAACCACTTCTTGAACAGTTTCAGTGAAAAATGGCTCCTAGCTACTTCAGAGCCGAGGGCTTGTACATCGACATTCAGCCAATGCATGTGCTTTGGAGATCCTCTTGGAACAGGAGTGAATGCCTTGTGTTTGACTGATTTTGGAATTTCACTAAACCAGTCAAACTCTGAGGAAGCTGTGAAGCTAAAACTCTTCTCTGGAACAGAGTTAAAGCAAGAAATTCGTCTCATTGACCCACCTTGTGGGATATGTACTTTTAACGTGATGGTTGGAGACAGCACCATACAAGGTAATCCGCCTTCTTGATTGAACGAATTCGGATTGATTTTTCTGGTTTCAGCATAAACTTCAGGCTGCCTAACTGAGTTATTCACAGTGTAAGAGTACGGAGCAATATATAGGGTGAAAAATCCGATGCTTGTTGGCTTAGAAGCGCCTTGGTACAATTTCACTCACAAACAGCACTTTTGTCTTGCTTGGCTAGAACAGAGCAGCATCACATCTGACGTATTTTGCACAATATTTGGTGTACTACTTCATCCAGGCGCTTAGTGGTCAATAGGATGAACTTTGAATCAATGAAAAAGTCAACCTTGAGTTTATCAAAACCTGTATCACTTGTGTTTCACATATGAAAACCGATCAAACAAACCGGTCAGTTAGAGATATTAGCTTGTCTTAGATTTGAAATTGGTTGAACTGGGCAAAAAATTGAGTCTAAAACCGCATCACGAGTCTACTCAGCGTAACCAGTGTACCATGCTTAGCGTTCATCTTTCGGTTCCCCTTGTCGGTCACTGCTCGTGAACTGTTGTTTGCAACAACTGTTTTGCAAATTCGGGTGGATTAGACTGGATTAGATTGAATCGTTATTCTGTCACAAAATTCTTTATTTTCCACTCAAAACTGCCACCTAGTCCTTTCATCACATTCGACAGCTTCGAGTTTTCCGGTTCCCCAACTTGTGCTTTTATTTTGAAGGATTCACTGTCTAAATCATCATCAACAGCATGACATCGGTGTCCAACACCGATGCTTCACTGCAGTACAGCCATGATTTATTTGAAAGCCTTATTGTGAAGAAAAGAGTTAAGGTTAATGCTAGCTTACTACAACCATTCCGAGGTGCATCTACCTCCAGACATTCCCTCAGGCAATCTGGATAGAAACTGACAACAAGAANAACAAGAACGCCACTGACATCGGTTGGCAGCCATATGTTGTAGTGTCTCCAACCGGGCGCAGTGAGGATCACGCGGTCCCCATCCTGTCTAAATACCTGAACATTTAAAATTGAAAGCTATGTGCACGGGTAACTTTAATAGCCTTGTATGCGATGCATGTATCAAATGAGAAGAACATTGGTTCAGCGTTTTCGACAGCAAACTCACTGAGAATAACCATTGTGATGTCCGCACATCACTGGTTATCCATAAAACTTTGCTATCACGTCGTTGCTGGACTGAAGTTTTTTCATTATCTTCTACTTGTAAGTAAAATATTTTCGGTGGAAGCCAATTTGTTCCGGTGAACTCTTTCTCGAACGTATAAATCAAATGTCACTGACACGGAATAACTACATTTCGGGACGCAAACACACATATCAAGAAAGTGCTGTTTATGCCCAATTCGGAGTGGCGTAAACAGAGAGGTGGCCAACCCATGACCTGGCAGAGGAGTACGAAGGAGATCACGAAGCGCTTGGGTGATGTCGGTGCTACTCGCCTTCCAGGATGGAGACCGCATGATCCTCACTGTGCCCGGTTGGTGACACTGCAAGTTATGGCCACCAACCGATGTCAGTGGCGTTCTTGTTGCCAGTTTCTATCCAGATTGCCTGAGTGAATGTCTGGAGGTATAGGCACCCCGGAATGATTGTGTTAAACTAGCACTAAATCCCTCCCCTGTCCACCTTTATTCTTTTCTCTACAATAAGGCTTTAAAATGAGTGATGGTTGTACGGCAGTGAAGCATCGGTGATGATATCAAGACAAGTCAGCACGCCCTTTTCAACGTTTGTTGGTCGAGATCCGCTGATGAATTCACTTGGGTATCTGATGCTAGGACCAAGCAGGTAAACATTTGTTCAGGAGTGATATGTTTTCTTATTAATAAACTAGCATGCCCCACCTAATGCTCAGCTTCTGTTCATAAAGTGAGGACATATGAACTGTAAAACTGTTACAGCCGAACTCCAATGACGTGGAGTAAAATATATGAGTTTGCATTGTTCACTTTAAACGGTTNTTAAACGGTTTTCGATTGATCCTATGTCACTTTTAGGCCAAGTGAAGAGCACGTAACAGCGGGAGGTTGCCCGCTATTCTAGCCTTACGCGAGATCACCTAGTGTTGAGTTGTGTCATTTCGAATGGTCCCATTAATCCAATCCATTGAACCTGTCACTAGCTAACGTTTTGTGGTCTTTCTGTTATATCATAGAACAAGATGAAGGACACGCGAGCGCGCTTTCCTCCGCAGTGATCGACCGAAAACCAGGTTTACCAAAGTTTCCAAAAAAGCATGAGTTTTGTTTAGGCGCAGGTGTATGAAAACCTTTCAGATAACAACTAGCTGAGTCAGCAAGCAGTTTGCTACAGATTGCACCCATGGTAAAACTATCCGCAAACTTTGTTACAAAAAGACTAGACTTGAAGAGCCCCTGGTTCAAAAAATCACTTTTTCCTTCGTGCCTACATGCTGAGCTACAAGAAGAGTGAGACTGGTCGTCAGCTGTCAAAGTTTTCAGCAACCTTATGAGTAGTGTGTTAAGTCTAGGTAACAAATCCCACTTTTCATTGCTTCACGGTTACATTTTGATCAAGAAGATGCCATCCACAGCCACTCATGCTTCTTTCTAGCTGGATTTTATCACCAGAAAATATTTTCTCTCTGTTATATAAATCCCGGTCCTAAGCGATCTCCACTTTGCAAAGACTCTACTTGGGCAACAGATCTGTATTTACATACTTTCAGTTTCCCTTTCGGTTTTGTAGTGTCGTAAAAATACATTCCTATTGATCAATAATCAGCTGACTAAATACTCAGTCAATGAGTCAGTCAGTCACAGTGTCCACTGCTAGCAGCATATATCTGAACCTGTTCCAAATTTGCTCTTTCAGATTTGGCCGTAGCTGCAGGACCACACATCTACATCTACAGGAAACTGAAGCCTTATTTCAGAATTACACTTCCCCCGTTAGAAGTTGACGCTGAAGAGGAAGAATCTTGGAAGAAAGCGGGAGAAGTAAGTTTGGTTATTGTTTGTGCCAAGGAATTTCCCCAAGCATATAGGCCCACTCGTACAGTAGTGTTTATTTAAAATTGATTTTTTTATGAGTACGCCTGTTTACTTTTTAACCGTTATCGGATAAATAACGTTGATGACACTCAGCGAGAAAGGGCGAGAGCCAAATGTGCTAATGGGTTGTCCGTTGAGAAGGGAGAATCAGGAATATTACTGAGCCTTCTCAGTGAAACACGCTACTAATAAGGTTGCTGAAAATCCTTTAAAAGTCCACAACCGCTCCCACCCTTCTTGAGGTTAATCAAGTGAACACATTTTCTGAAAATCCTTTCAAACTTCTCATGTCTTTGTATCCAAATTGTGTGCTACTCGCGAAGTACACTCATTTTCCCAATTACTTGATTTTAACGAGAGACTCAAGTTAAACCAAGCAGGATCTGTCGGTACTGCGCTAACTGAAAAATGGATCTGTCTTTGTGCAGCACATTTAGTTGAAGAATATCACAAGCGAAAAATTCAGCTAAGCTTAAACCCACAAAATCAATTTACTCTGCGAGTGTGTCTATTTCACGAATTACTGTTTTTCTTTGAAGCGAAAAGCAACTCTTAGAAGTCACTTTACTGTAAAATTCGCATCGTTTTTAATGCGACTATCCAGTTTGTCTACCGGGACTGATAGAATGGCATTTGACTTATTGTTCACGTCCATTTAACCAGGAATTAATCAACTAAGGAGGTCAGGAACAAGCGCCATCCAAAACAAACAGAACATTGAGGTTGTTATTTGTAAACCATATTAGGGTGTTGGTTGGTTGCTCGACAAAAACCATCCCGCCCTTTTGCGACATCCAAGCATGTATACATCAAAATGCACGAGTGTCGCAATATTGTCATTGTTATTTCTTCAGTAAAAGACGCAGATGTGGTCTACTGAAGTATATGATAGCAATGTTGAAAGGGGAGCATTCGCGATAATTCACTATTGATAGTAACGACACATGAGTCCTCCACCATTATCCAACAGTGTTGCCATTTTGTTACGTTGACTAAGGCCTTTGTGTACTTCTGTCTCGCCCTGGTAAGGGTTGCGTTGATCAAATCTCCACACTGCGTCAGGTGCTAGAACAACTTTATACGTATAACCGACTCACAATTCTAGTATTCCTGGATTTCCGAGGCGCATTCGATTCTGTTCTTCTTGAGACGCTTGCCCACCAAGGAATGCCCCGGAAGTTTGTAAACATAATACGTTCTTTGTATTCTCAGACTTCCGGACGTGTGAGAGTGTACGGAGAGCTCTCCAAAAGCTTCCGTACACAAAGCGGTGTCTTTCAGGAATGCCCATTCTTTCAATTCCTTTTCAAATTCGTAATCAATGAAATAATGAGTCTAATGCTGGAGAGTCTCCAAAACCCTGGTGTTCAAATAGCCTGTGAAGAAAACCTTGTCGATCTGGAATATGCAGGCGACATCGTTCTCATGTTCTAAGAGGAGGAGAAGGCTCAGGTGTTCTTGGGTGAACTGACCAAAGTCATCCCGTCCTTTGCTACGCCCTTTACACCTACGAAGTGTAAGGACATGCTCGCTGACTTGCAGTCAATAAACACGCCACTTACAATCCAGGGAGAGGTACTGGAAGTTATGGAGCGTTTTACGTATCTTGGAAGTTGTATTAGTTCTGATTGTAGTGTGACAGGTGAGGTGAATGCACGAATCTGCAA